TTCAATTGAACGCTATTGTAAAACTAATATAAATATTTGTGTAACCCGATGATCAAAATCTAGACTTTCCCTATGCTTTGTGCTTCTTATATCAATAAATCGTTAACTAATATATTTTCCCTGAATGAATCGGGCCAAAAGTATTTGTAGGAATTTCAATGATTCAGATATTTAATAAAAATAATAAAAATTAAAAAAGAACCATTTATATAAAAAATAAATTAATTATTATTATTTACATTTATTCAATATAAAATTTAAATATTTCTACCTTGCCATAGCCTTTTCCGGGGTGGGGTTTCTCTTGTTTTTATTTTTATATACAAGTTGTTTATAATATCACATATCATAAATTCATTAATACGTTTTTACATTTTTACATTAATGTTCTTTGATTTTTATATTGCAAATTGTAATAAATAAAGAGCAGTAAATATAATAAATGAAATAAATAAAAATAAATGACAAATAAATAACAAATAATAATAAGTTAATGAATAATAATACATAATAAATAATAAAAAAAAATAATAATAAAAAAGAAATTATTAATTCTCATTTTCAATTTCAATTAAAATATCACCATAAGATTGAGATTGTTTCACTTTGATTAAATCTTTTGTTGCAAGTCCTATTATTTTTAATAATAAATCAAAATATAATTATTATAAATATTTAGTTAAAATAGTTAAAATTATTATTATTATTATTATTATTATTATTATTATTATAATAACATATTTACCTAAAATATTATAAAATCCTTTTGCAACTTCAAATCTTGCAATATGTTGAGCTTTCATAATATCTTGAAATATAACTCTTGTAACTTGTGCTTCGTGCATTAAACTTTTCATTGATTCTAAGAAATTCATTTGTTCATGTTCATTATTTATAATATTAGTTCCACCTATTTCTTCTTCTTCACGATGATCATCACGATAATGTGAAGAACGCGTCGGACTATTATTAATATTTTCATCATCACCACCAAACATTCCAAATATTGGAAAATCAGGAATTCCGATATTACTATTATTTTCTTCTAAAGATGGTATGCCTTCTGATAATGAAACAGATTTACGATTTAAACTTTGTCTAAATAATAATAATAATAATAATAATAATAATAAATAATATTGAATTGATTAATATAAATTTTTAATAGTCAATTAAATTCAGTTTATACCTTCCAAGCGCTCCTCCTCCTAAAAGATTAACATCCAACACATCTCGACTTCTTAAACTTCTTGCAGTACCCAAAGAAGAATCATTTTCAAAATCTACATAATAAATTAATAAAATTCATTGCAGCAACTTCCGTGACTTTGTAAAAAAAAAGAGAATATAATATTTATTTACCCATTGCAATATCATTAACATCACCAATACTATTGCCGTGGATTCCTGATAATGGAATAATAGCTGAACTACTTTGACTTGCACCACCTCTTCTTAAACGTTCAAGTTCAATATCTTGTAAACTGATATCTTTTTCTTGTCGTTCTTGCTAAAATGTATAAATGTTTAGATGAATCATATGTATAAAGTGTATAATATGCGTAATGTTATTGTTATATTATTATCATATTTTATTGTACTTAACTGATTGATTGAAATTACTTGGTCCTCCAATATCATCATCAACATATAAATCATCATCCATTTTTTCAATTTCGACATTATTTTCTAGAAAAAATAATTAATTTAAACAATTTAAACAATTTAAACAATTTTAACATTTTAACAATTTAAACAATTTATACAATTTATACAATTTATGCAATTTATACAATTTATACAATTTATACACGAAAATAAATGATAAATGTGATAGATAATGATCCAAACATACGTCTTATATCTGGCACGGGAGAAATCTTTCTTTGTCTAATAACTCGATCTAAAGAAAATTGTTTAATATTAATAAATAAATATATTATAAATAAATTATAGATAAATAAATTATGATCATTAAAAATATACTTTGAAGCATTGGAGTACAATGATTATTCCAAAGTGTTGCTAATTCATTAGATTTAACTATTGCCAATTTTTTCAATATAATATATATTAAACTAAATAATTAAAATTAGCGTAAATAAGAAAATTGGAAAAATGAAGGATTTAAAATAATTACTTGGCAAAACCGGAGTATATAAAATTTGTTGCCATTGATTTTTATATTCTTGCATGAGTGCCTTAATAATAAAGTGAATTCATAAATTTTACAATATTCATATATTTATATATTTATATATTTATTCAAACCTAACCTTACCTTTTCCTTTGTAGTTCTCTCAGCTTCGTCAAGATCATTAACTACAATTTCTCGCATTTCCAATATTTCTTCATTTGTCATTTCTGTATCTTCATCAAACATAGAATAAAGTCTACGTCTTTTTTTTCGTTTTCTTTGTTCTTGTTTTCCTTCTCGTTGTTCTTGTACTTCTTGTTCTTGTAATTGTTCATCTAATTGATCATTTAATTGTCCTGTTTGTTCTTCGGAATCATTTTGCATTGGTACAATATGATCAGTTTGAATTTCCATTATATCTTCAATAATTTGATCTTGTGAATAATTGATTTCCTTTTTATGTGAAAGAAACCGAATTAATTAATCATTTTGTATAAAGATTATTATTATTATTGTTATTTATATTGTGTAATTTCAGTTATTATTGTTAATTTTACCATAATTTCTTGTCCCCCTTCTTCAGTAATTATTTCATCATCAATTCGTTTTCTCTTATTTTTCCGTCCATTTACACCATTTACAACACTTATACGACCCGCATCATCATGTTCTTCCCTTACTCTTCTAACAATTTCTTTTATGTTAGGATTTACTACATTTCGATTTTGTTGTTGTTGTTGCTGTTGTTGTTGATTTTCCTCTTCATTGATATCTTGTCCTTCAGCAGTAAATTCAAGTAGACCGCCATCTTCATCAAAGTCAATTCTAATTCTATTTTCAAATGTATACAAATATATTTTAATATAAATATGTTTTTTAAATATAAAAATATAAAATAAGAAATATAAATAAATTTTAAAATAAAATAAAAGAATAAGTTTATAAAAATAAAGAAATAAGATAAGAAATAATGCAAACCCAGAATCTTCAGTCATTAATATGTCATCTTCCATACTACCAAAATCTAAACTACCATTAAATCCATTATTAGAAGATACTGAAAAACTTTGGTCTGAAGCATCGGGAAGAGTTATTAATGATCTTTGTGATGAATTTCTATAGATATTCACTTCTGTAATAATATTATTATTGTTATTATTGGTAGTTGTTGGAACTTTTTAAGATTAAAAATATATATATATATATTAATTAAATTAAGATTAAATTAATCAAGTAAATCATGAGAGACTTTATAAATATTTATATTTTTTTACCTTGACTTGTAGGTAAAAACTGTCCCCAATCCAATAATTCTTCTACATCAGGAACCTTATAATACATTATTAAGTAAAATTAAATAATGTTAATAAAATGAAATCAAATCATTTAAATCATTTAAATAATCTTTTGAAAATGAATAAAATAATCTAACTACCAAATTATTATTTTCCTGATTCATTGAGAGAATATTCATTTCCATTTCAAAGTATGGATCATCCTCCAAAGTAATGGCTTCTGGTCTTTTTATATTATTCAAATTACGGTATCAGTTATTCATTTAAGAAAATTAAATATAAATTTTATAATTTATTAAATTACCTTGCTTGAGATATAATCATATCTACCGATTCTCCTCCTTGTAATTCTCTAAAAACTTTATGCAATCGTGTGTACATAACATTTACATCGGCTTTAAAAAGAATAAAAATAAAAAGAATAAAAAGAATAAAAAGAATAAAATGTTTATAAAATTTGTAAATGAATAAAATCCACAGCAATTTATTTTATTAATTTGATAATTATGAAAAATTTAAAGAATTTCGTACTATAATAAAAATTATATTGTTGATTATACACTCTTGAAATTCCAATCATTAGATTAGAAGTCAAACGAAGGGCTAAAGGTTCTGGTGGCGAAGAGACAAATTTACTAATAATAATAATTAAAATGTTAATTAAATATATTTGAAATCTATGGTCTAGAGACAAATTATATTTATATTATTATATATTATTTTACCAAGCTCTAACCAAATCAACGGAATTAACTTCTTTCTTTGAAAGCTTTCTAAATTTTGAACCTGATCCAAATGTTGCAGCTAACCTATACATATCATATTATTCACAAATTATTATTCCAAATTATTCCAAATTATTTAATTTATTCCGAATTTTAATTTTCAAATATAAAAAAACCAATAAAAAAAATAAATAGGCCAAGTACCAGATAATACCAAATCCTCCTTTTTTACGCGTCAAGATTTCTTTGGAATAAAACATTTTTTACTTTTTATAGTTTTGAATTTTTAATTGTTTTCTTTTAAATAAGTTATAGAATTAATTTAAATCTTTTATTAATAATAGTTTGCTTAATCATTTTGCCTAATCATTTTGTCTTTCATAAATATTGAGTCAGGTTATATATTGCATCATAATTATAATTATACTTTGTATTTTCATTAAATTTATTAAATAATTCGGAGATTTTAATATATTTTTTTGACATGAAATTATTTATTATTACGATAGGATTTATATATATATATATCAATTAATTTTATTGTCAGTGATCAATTTCAATTAAAATAAATATAAATAAGTTGATATTAAAAATACCAAAATTTAAGAGACAATAATTAATTTATATAGTTTCAAGAAATACTGCATGTTCAATATGTCTTAAACAAATACCGAATTTCTCTTTTTTTTTTTTTAGTTTTCGTTGTTTTTTTCATCACATCATTGTTTTTTTGTTTCTTTGAAAAATCCGAAATATAAATTGATCTATTGAAATACATTATCATTCATAACTTCATAATTTTCCATCTGTTTTGAATCCAAATAAATAATTAGTAAGTTTTTTTTCAGATAATTATTTCTTACAAAATATGCTAATGTTTATTAGATGTTTTATCAAAAATAATTAATATAATCAAATCACTCACTACTATAATTAAAATGTGCGGTGAGTGTGTGTCTGATTTTAATTGATTGAAGAAATGTTAAATTACAATAATCACCTCATTGAATTGATGTAAATTAAATCAATTAAAAAAGTAAAATTTTAACATCAAGCTTTGATTGTATCAAGCTCTGATTGTATTAAACAGTTTAATTATAAAATATACATGTTATTTATATCTTAATTATTATGAATCTTTACTTATTGACTAATTATTCAATATGTGGAAAATATGTGATAATTGATTTCCTTTGCTTTTAATTATCCTTAAAAATAAATTGATTGATAATTGATTAAAAAAATGTTATTTTGCCTTAAAATTTTTTTTTAAGAAAAACAAGCACAGAGAACTATGTTCTTACTCGACAGAACTCACATTTGATTGATGTTTTCTGTGTTGTCTGCAAAGTACCGATATTTTCGATAAATAGTTTCTTTTTCTTTTGGTCTTGAATTAATTGAATTAAAAAGCTTGAACTACGAAAACCTTATGACAGTTAATTTCCTATAATAGCTAGCTTTTTTTGTACCGAAAATTTGGATCTTTATACCAGTAACTAACTTTGTATATGTATCACCTGCGCCAGTTCATTTTACACCCCACGTGGTTTATATAGAAACCCAAATATAATTGTCTCAATAGTGACAATGAAAAAGTTTTTTTTCAATTTTTAATATATTACTGGACAATTTTTTTTTTAAAAAAAATAATAAAAATAACAATTTAATCTATTATAATTATTAAATTCGTGAGTATATATATGTGCGAAAATTTCCCTATTTTTTCAAGCCAACTTTGCGAAATTAGTATTTAAATAACTTTATTTAATCACTCAAAGTCATCCTAAAGTACTTAAAAAAATGTTACATCGAGAAGCATCTAAATGAAAAAAAAAAATAAACAAATAAAACCCGATAGTGGGTGTACGATAATCTAATCAAGTTGGGGTAGCTCTTACGCCACAGTCAATTCAGTTGATAGATTAGATCAGATTATTACTTCAACTCTTTAAGATATAAATAATAAAAAAAAAAACTAATAGAAATGAACGTAAACACATAATTTCAAATTATTTTTATTGGTATTTTTTTAATTATCATAATTATTAACAGTAAAATCAAAATAATCCCATGTAATTGATCAGTTATTATGTAAAAATTATTATAAATTCAATAAAATTCAAATTAACATTAATTATGAGATCATTAAGTGTATGAACCAGCAGCAAACCAAGTAGGTTGATTAATTTCTAATTCTTTTAAATATATATTTTGAGCGTGATCAATTAATGAAATATCATCGATATCAAGATCTGAAGGAGTGGGTGGTAAGAGATTTGAATCATTTATCCAAGATGAAAATGATGAATAATTTCCCCTATTGTAAAATGACGAAGAAGAAGAAGAAGAAGAAGAAGAAGAAGGTGAAGGGGATGATAAAGGTGATGATGATAAAGGTGATGGTGAATACCAAGGTGGTGATGGAATGTCATTATTATTATTATTATTATTATTATTATCATTTTGTATATTTTGTGTTGTTAATGTTAAAGGAACGGATAATGATGATGATGATGATGTAGCTTGTTGTTGTTGTTGTTGTTGTTGTTGTCGTTGTGATTGTGAAAGTAATAAATTTAAAGTGAGAGATATTCTGTTATTTCGCTGTGTATTAAACATATTTCTTAATCTTTCATCTACCGTGGAATTTCTAGTAAAAGGTGAATCTTGATCTGATAAATTTTTTTCAATGGCCGTCATAACCACATAAAATAATTTAGACACAATATTATCTTGAGTATTTCTTTGTGATAATGTTTGATCTCGTAACATTGCATCAACACTATCGTATAAACGTTTTAAAAGTGGATCAGTTTCAATTTCATTATGATTTACTTGAGAATAGAGCGTAACTGTAGTCGTTGTAGTGTTGAGTGAGCCGTTTGTGTTATTCGTGGATACATCGTTATCTTCGTTATCGTTGGTAGTATTTCTGGTATTTGTGGTTGAAGTTGAATGAAGATTTTCTTCAATTTCTGGTATTTCCAAATTAGTCCTTCTTGATGACATGTTTTTATCTAAAAAAAATAAGTGAAATAATTTTTTTTTGGAATTTTAAAGAAAATGAACTTGACTCCTATTTACAATATATCTTTATTTTTTGAATTGTTTATCCAAAAAGGAATAATAACACTCAAATAAGAAATGATTAAATTATGATGTATTATTTAAAGATTCAAATTAGATTGTTTTTATTTAAAACTATTGATTTGAGATATTTGAGATATCAATATTTATTAAATATTTAAATGATCATCGGATTTTTTAAAAATAAAGAATAGCTTGAAATATAAATAAATACATTTATCTGTAGATCAATAGGGATTGAAATCCAAAAAAAATAAACTATTTGTTTATTTATTTATTTCTACCCATTATATATATTTATATATTTGTTTAGACGACAATTTTTATGACAGTTTTTCATGTGACATTAGATGAGTAGATGAGATGGAATGGGAATAAATAAACTTTAAATTTATTAAAGTATAAGAAAACTTTTTGCATTCTACCGTACTGTAAAGAACGATGCATAATAAATCTACCAGTGTATTTTTTCTAAAATTAGGAAAAAAAAAGAAAACAAGAAAATTTTCGTTGGTATTGAAATTTTTTAAAAAATTAACAATAAGGTTAGTCATATAGGAATAACTTAATTCTTAATCCTTACAAAATAGTTGGTTTTTGATAAAGTTATTTATATTTTTCATCAGAATGGGAGTCAATTTGTATGACCTACTAAAGTTGATATTAGAAAGTTTCAGTTTACTTCTGTTACCAGAATATTACAATGTTACTTTTTTTTAGTCAATTTGTCAATAGATAATTTTTTTTTTTATTTTCGCTTTAAAATTATTTTTTTTTTTTAAAAAAAAATCTCTATACCCCAATATTTTTAATTTCTTTAAATAATTACTTGCTCAATTCTTTATATTAGAATAGTTATTTTTAGATTCTTTTCTTAGTTTTACGACAAAATAATCGAAAATTTCTTTCAATGAAAAGATTAAAGTAGTTAATTTAAAATTTGTATCACTTTTGTTTAAATCGGAGGTTTTAATTATTTAAATAAAATAAATGGGAAACGGAAAAGATGAACAGTACAAATCTTGAGTTATTACCTACCGATATCCAAAATATTTAATCTTATAATCTTGAACTACATGTTATGCGAGCTCATATTCTCAAATTTAAATTTTTCAGAAATCAATTTTAGGGTTGAGAATAAGTTCATCAAGAATATGAACGTCTTGCTTATTCTTAACTAGAAGTTTTAGCTGGAAAGGGATTACACTTTATATATATATTTAAAAAAAAAATTTACTTAATTCCGAGACAAAATTTCTGATAAAATTTCAAGTATTCTACAACAGAAAAGAACATCAAGGCAAATGATGTTTTTCGAAACGTAGTATTCTATAATAGACAAATCAGTTAAACGGATTTTCGTTATCAATTTAATTTTTTACATTTTTACTCACCAAAATGCCAACTTCTTCGAACTCTGGTTGGAAATCAGCAGTAAAGAAAGTAAAGAAAATCCAAAATTAAGTTCATAACATATAAATATCACACATTGTCAGATTTTCCTTTAGAAGAAGAAAAGTTAAGTGTAACCAATAACATGTCATGTTTCTTTAAAATATGCTCAATTATTGACTCTTATGGTCTGCAGTTTACCACTTCAAATTTGAAGAATGTTTCAGTACAAGTAAACTTCCTTTAAGCGACTAATTAAAACTATTCAGAAGGTATGAAAGTACTTGAATATTTGTTTTTTCTAAGCTGGCTTGCAAATGAATTGAAAGATAAATGATTCTTTAATTATTTAAACTTTTAATTTTTTATTCTTTTAAAATTTAGTTTAGTTTATAAATTTAGTATAATATTTTTCTCAACAATTATGTAATTATAAATTTATTCAGAGTATTGGGTTTTATTATGTTAATTAAAATGTTTTTTAAATTAATAAAATTAAAAATACTTAATATAAAGTAAAAAGAAAGTTATGTTAGAAAATAATCTTTTTTTAAAATAAAATATTTCCAGTTCTATTTTTTGAGAGATTGTTATATGTGACAGCTGTTACATTTACACTCACCCCAAAATATATATATATATTATTTTTATCAGCATAATATATTGATTAAAAAAAACTGAATCATAAATCAATTGCTCCAGATTCACAGTGGTTTCGATTGATGCCACGTATGAAACTTTTCTTTTTACAAGTGAATCTTAAAAACTGTATTAAGTAACCTTAAATACAAGAATGAATCTTATATAATATAAAAAGAACAGACTTATACCATCAAAATTGAGTGAATAATTGTCATTTTATAATTTTTTATCCATTTGAAATTTGACCACTAAGCATTCTCTCTATTTTGGAGACATAGGTATTCTCTTTTTATGATATGTAATTCACTCTTGTCTTTAAGATTACTTAGTACTATTGTTAATATTTACTTATTAAAATAAAAAGTTTTATATGTAGTAACGATTGATGATTATTTAATTACAAGAATTTTCTAGAGTTACACAATAAATGGATTGACAAATTGCTCATACCGCGATGCGCATGTGCATCTCATAACTTTAAAACTTGATGCAGTGACTTGGCACTATGACCTTTTACTAATTGGAAAACAAAATTGAGTTATATTCTATAATTTGGTAGCCATAATTAATCACAGCAGCCAAAATAACAAGTGATGTTAAGAATTTACTTCCCCAAGAAAGAAATCAGATATTTCAGTATTTATCTAAATTCCGAACCCCTGACATAAGAAAATTTACTACTAAAAATATTATTAAAAATCCAAGCTAATAAAAAACTTTAATAAAATTATTTAATAAATTGTACAGAACAGGAAATTGTAAACGGACATCAGGAAATTTTATAAGGCAAATTTTCATCACCCGCTCAAATTTGCGTAAGTTTTTTTGTGCGGGTTTTTCCATTTTTCACAAGTTGCGAGGCGCAGAGCGATTTTCTAAATGACATGGGTAAATCCTGTGCAAAAATTCACACAAATGGTTTTCTTTAAACCGGACGATCTCCGCGAATATAGATGTTACAGGGATGAAACACATGTCATTTTGTAGCTAAGAGCAAGGCCGTTCTCTCTAGCTTAGAAACAGCTTAGTGGAAAATCGCTCTACGCCTCGCAACTCGTGACAAAGTCGAAATAACGAGAAAAGCCCTCAAAAAAATTTGCGCAAATTTGCGCGGGTGATGAAAATTTGGGCAAATTTTCGCCTAATAAAATTTCCTGATGATGTGATAAATTATAATTTTAAATGGTTATCATGACAATCTAGAATTATTCAAAGTTTTTTTTACAAACACAACCTGATTAGTAATTCTTATTTAAGTGACCATCGTAAGAATTTTCCCTTCTATTTTACTATTTCTATTTCTTCTATTTCTATTTTAAATATAATTAATAGTTTTAGAGTATTTTAAATTTATATTTCGATATACATATATACTTATTTGATTTTGAGAAAAATCGTTTTTAAATGACACAACGAAAATTTACACTTGTTATATAATGAGCGATAAGTTTTTAATTTAAAATAATTGTGATACTTCTAATACAAATATGTAAACTTAAATAACTTTATTTGCACTTTTATCATCGAAATAAAAAATACAACAGTTTTTTTACAAAAAAGGGTTAGAAAATAAGTTTTTGTTATGGGCGATCCCATATCATCATTTTAAATAATAAATAAAAATAAAAAATAAATATGAATATTTTTATTTGGTAAATTTTTTTAAAGAAAGGAAATCGTTTATGTAATACCGCTTTTTGTATTTCGAAACAACCCGTTGTTGTTGTACTAATGCATGCAAAACGGAATTTATTTAATCCGATAATGTAATATTTTTTTTTAGATTTTATTAAAAAAAATGGATGGAGAAACGAGAAAAATGGGAGAAATGAAAGAATCGGAAGAGTAGGCATATTGTCATATTAAATTTATTTAAATTCATAATTTATTACTAATAATAATTTACATAAATTATATTCCTAATAAACTAATCAATATAAATTA